TGTGTTCAACAATTGGTATCAGACAATCGACTATGGTCTTTTGTACAAAAGAAGCAAAGACTGCAAGCTAGTTGGATATTGTGATGCTGACTATGCAGGAGATCACGATACTTGGAGGTCAACCACTGGGTATGTGTTCAAGTTTGGTTCGGGAACAATTTCTTGGTGTAGCAAAAGACAACCAACAGTATCATTATCAACTACAAACGTGGAGTATAGAGCAGCGGCTGGAGCAGCTTAGGAAAGTACATGGCTGAAACTCTTGAGGGAAGATTTGCACCAGAAAATTGACCATCCAATATCACTTCTTTGCGACAACCAATCTGCGATTCGCCTAGCAGAAAATCATGTGTTTCATGCTAGAACAAAGCATGTGGAGGTGCACTACCATTTCATTAGAGAGGTTCTAAAGGAAGAAATCGAGATGCAGCCGATCAAGATAGATGACTAAGTGATAGACTTGTTTACAAAAGGGCTGAATATTGGCAAACATGAGAGTTTTCGCTGTTAGCTTATTTTTAAAGAGTTTATAAGATAAAAAAATAAAATAAAATTTAAGGATGTTTTTTTTTATTTTTAAAAGTTTATGGACCAACCCAATTTATGTTGTGTGTTTAACTTATAATTGATTTTTTTATTTAATTATAAACGAGGCAAATTTGTAATTTTTGAAATTAGAACAAAAAATAGTGGTATTTTCGGAGGGCGAGAGATGCGAAGCAGATGGTTAAGCAGCAGAACAGCGCCGTCCACAGTCGATCGGCATCTTCACCGCCGGCCGTAGTTTTCATTTCTCCAGTTCCGTTGCGTCTACCAAAACTTCAGTACTTCTTTCATTGATTTTTCTGTTCTATTGCCTTCCGTAATCTGGAGTACAGTGTGAAATTTTGTTTTCGATTATGAATGGGGTTTCCAAGCGCTTGCTTCGAGTTCGAAATCATTTTCCTTCATCATTCCGCAGCGTCAATGGCCGTTTCTCGTCTGTAAGTTCTTCGATTCCATCACCTCTATATTACCGTCCCAAGTTCTCGCTCTCGATTCCCGCCTTTTCGTGTTCGATTGCGTTTTTGGTCCGTTTTAATTCAGAATTTGTTCGATCAGGATCTTACTGTACTCTTAATGAATCTAAAGCGGAAGAAATTTCACAAAGTAGTGCGGATAAATTACACAAAGCTATTATGGATAATTCTTCCGCACATCATGATATGGAGGATGCCCTCGATCAAGTGGGCGTCCATTTGAGTACCGATTTAGTTGTAGATGTTCTCCGTAGGCTTCGTTTTGATGAGAAATTAGCGTTTAGATTCTTTACATGGGCTGCGCGTCAAGATAACTATTCTCATGAACCTCTGGTTTACAATGACATGATTGATATACTGTCTAGCACTAGGTACAAGGTCAAGCAATTTCGAATAGTTTGTGACGTTCTTGATTATATGAAGAGAAATGACAAGAATACTGTTCCTGTTGAGATTCTATTTGGGATTTTGAAGAATTATACAGAGAAGCATTTAACTCATTTGCAAAAGTTTGCAAAGAAAAAGAAGATTAGAGTGAAAACACAGCCAGAAATCAATGCTTTTAATTTGTTTTTGGATTCGTTGTGCAAATGTAGTCTGGTTAAGGATGCTGAAGCTTTGTTTATGAAGGTGAAGAAGAAACTGAAGCCGAATGCGAACACGTATAACATATTGTTTTTTGGTTGGTGTAGAGTTAGGAATCCTGGAAGAGGGATGAGGGTATTGGAAGAGATGATCGAGCTCGGGTTCGATCCGGATAATTTTACTTATAACACTGCTATCGCTTCGTTCTGCAAGGCGGGGATGTTGACGGAAGCATGTGAACTCTTTGAGTTCATGAGAACAAAAGGTTCTACCTTCTCTTCACCCACAGCTAAGACTTACGCAATCATGATTGTGGCTCTTGTTAATAATGGTAGAATGGATGAATGCTTCAAGTTTCTGGAATACATGATCAAAAGTGGTAGCGTTCCCGATGTTTCTACGTACAAAGAGCTGATCGAAGGGATGTGTTTAGGTGGAAAGGTTGATGAAGCTTACGTGTTTTTGGAAGAGATGGGTAAGAAAGGTTACCCTCCTGATATAGTTACTTATAATTGTTTCCTCAAGGTTCTCTGCGATAATAAAATGAGTGATGATGCACTCAAGCATTGTGATAGAATGATTGAAGTTGGTTGCTTTCCCAGTGTACAGACTTACAACATGTTGATATTGATGTTTTTCGAGATGGGCGATCATAATGGAGCTTTCGAGATTTGGCTTGAAATGGATAAGAACGGCTGCGCACGGGATGTCGATACATATTGTATAATGATTGATGGTCTTTTTGATTGCAACAAAGTTGGAGATGCTTGTTTCCTTTTAGAGGAAGTGGTAAACAAGGGAATGAAGCTCCCTTATCGAAAGTTCGACTCGTTTTTGATGCAGCTCTCTGTAAATGGTAATCTCCAAGCAATCCATCGGCTGTCCGAACACATGAGAAGGTTTTACAACCCCGCCATGGCTCGACGTTTTTCTATGAATCAAAAGCGGATGAGCATGAGTTTGAGAGGAAAGTGACAGGACTTGGTTAATTGTACGCATCCAAATTGCTTCCTGGTCTTCATTTCTGCACCATTTTTTACATGAAAGTTCTTGCCATTCAAACGATCTTAACTCTCTTATTAATCATTATGATTAGGTAGCAACAACTTCAAGGGAGCTTGGTAAATCATGCACAAAATAGTCTACAGAGCCTCCTCCAGAAAGAGTTGTCCAAGGCATAAAAACCAAAGTCCTCGGCCTTCATTAAAACCTCGCGACGCCCGTTCCATCGAGCCAGAAGACAAGCAAGGCCCTGGTAAGAAAGCAATGAGTTCAAGTAGATGATGAATAGTGTAGAAATATCCACGTTCTCATGCTTTGATTTTGCCTGGAAGATATGCTTATGTTTTTACAAGGATGTCAATTCATTACCCTTAGGTGACATATGGTCTATTTATTTGAAATGTACATATTTGGTGCTTTTTGAAGATGCCCTGAAGTTGACTTCCATTTGAATTTTTAGAAATTAGGTTGAATATTATATTATAATTTTTTTTATTTTTATGAAATATTATTGGATTTATTAGGATGTTTTACATTTTTTTAATGAAAATTATATTTAAAAATGGGGGCAAATTTTCTAGAGAATTTGATCCCCACGAATTTTCTATGGGGAATTTTCGTCCCGACCCCCTTGAAAATAAATGAAAATTTTTGGGAGGGAGAGAGGGGAATGAAGAGAGTTTAATTAAATAATTTATACCTCAAATAACATTTATCTTTAAGATTACGAGAGAAGCAGACTTCAAACATCTCGATCAGATAGTCAAGTTAAATATCTTTTATTTTTCATTACTTCCATGGTCGTGGCTTGCATGACAAGACTTTGTATACTATTGAAATGGTTTGTCAGTGAAAATGTTCCTATAGGCGCCCAATCTGTCAATAGTGCAAGGGCTTGTAGAACGTAAGACAACGAAGTAATGTATCTAGATGAGGTTCGGCCCTCAACAACCCAGATTCACAATCAACTAGTTTGTTCATGTTACCTGCTATGGACCTTCAATGTTTCACCCTTCATAGAACTGAAAGGTTATTTTGGTTTGAGAAGTGACGTTGAGATTGGAGTTTACAATCTTTTTACTAATTCCAACATATTTCGGTAGATAAATATATTTATTACCTATAAAACCACGACAATTGTGAGAGTGATATGATGAATTGAGTAATTCATTTTTAATCTATAGTGGTAGTGTCCTACCTGAAATGACAGCGAAGATTAAGCAAAGTTTTGATACATGCCTAACTTGTTTGTACCAAGCTCAATAGACTACTTGACCTAATAACTCTCGATCATAGCTCCTCTACTTAGCAAGCTCGATGGGCCTCGTTAGGAGCTCGGTTACATGTGCCATCCACGTAGCTCCTAATGCCCTACACGTGGGATGGCGGCCTGTAAACATGTGATTCAAAGCTAGACCTAACCAAAATCTTTCTTTAAAACACAAATATATACTAAATCATAGGATATTCAAAGATATGGTTTGGCAACAAAGAGGATTCATGAGTTGTTTCATCCTAAGCTTCCATTTGCTCTCAAGGAAAGTGTTGAGTTTCCTTTTAAACTCAAAGCCACCACCTGTAACGCTTTGTAATAAATAAGCTTGAAAAAGAAAAAGGCCCTACGAAAGTGAAATCTTTGTGAAATATTCCCTTTTTCCCTTCGGGCTTTTTCCGCTGTTGCAAATGAAACACGCGTAAAAGCAAAAGGTGACAAAGGCATTCATGGCTGTGCCCATCAAACTATATTTGTAGGGTTTCGCTCTTCTTTTTGTATCACTAATCTAAACGAGACACGTGTTGAAATTGTTGAGCTAAAACCGAGTTGCAAAATCGCTCGTTTCAATGTTGAGAAGATGTGGAGCGCGTCGGGAGGCTATTGCAAGCACAGAAGATTAAGACTCTATAAGAGTTTTAACGTCGACACGGCTACGTCAAACGATGGAGGCTCAACGCCTTCGACACTAATTGCTCATAGCATCACAACACTGTCGCGATTCGTTATTTGAGAACATCAAACACAAATTAAAACAAGGAATGGTAAGTTTATTGAATCAGTTACAAAAGCCACTTCCACTCATACAAATCAATGGATAATCTCATAGGTAAGAGTTCATAACTCATTTAAAATTAAGATCGAGTCGTATACAATCAATTTATAAAAAAAAAATTATTTTGTGGTCTAATTTCAAGCTCATTGTTTACGAGACATCCCAATATGTAGCCGCTCAAGTCTATCTCTAATAGAAATTGTTTGGATCAAATTATTCGTAACAATGCTTCTATCAATAATATTTAGAAGTAAATAAAAATAATAATAATAATAAAAAAAAGGGAATAAAACAAATATTTTGAGTAGAAAAAGGAAGAGAGGCAAAAGAGTGTGGTATTAGTATAAGAAGGCCAAAAGCGGCAAGTTCGCATCGAGAACAGGACAGGTTTGGAAACGGTGAGGCTCTCTCATCACCCTCTCCAACCGCACCTCTCCACCTCCGCCGTAACCGCTGCCACGTGGCCCTTCTTCTTCGTCTCTCTCTTCTCTTCTCTTCTCTTCTCTTCAATCCCTTCGCATTTCTTTCATCATTTTCTCTGAGAAACAGAAAGAAAAGTCTGAATTCCTCTGAGCGAATGATAATTGGCTGAGAAAATCAGCGATTTCAGAGAATCAAATCGCAGAATCTGCACGTAATGGTAATTTGTGTTAGAATCACTAATTGGTTTTAGGTTTTCGAATTAGGAGCGAGCGATTTCAGAGATCCAAAATGGCTGGGAACGAGTGGATAAATGGCTATTTGGAAGCGATATTGGACACTGGAGCGTCCGCCATTGAAGAACAGAAGCCGATGCCGGTGAATTTGGGCGACAGAGACCATTTCAATCCGACGAAATACTTCGTCGAGGAAGTCGTTAGCGGCGTCGACGAGTCGGACCTTCATCGGACATGGCTCAAAGTCGTCGCAACTCGCAATACTCGGGAACGGAGCTCTAGACTCGAGAATATGTGTTGGCGGATTTGGCATCTAACTCGCAAGAAGAAGCAGGTTCCTTCCATTTTCCCTCCCTTTTTTTGTTTAATCTTATAACGGTGCATAGGTGAATAGTGTGTATTGCACGGTTCTCCATCGATTTTGAGGCTAGGGTCGCCTCCCCTTTATGCTCACTTCGATACGGAACTGACCTGGGAAGTCTTGTAGTGTGTAGTGGTGATCATTGTCACATGTAGGTTCCTATACTGATTATACAAAATGTGGAGTAGTCACAGTCACACTATTTTAAATTTTAATTTAGAGATTAGTTCTAGATGACTGAATATTTTAAAAAATAAAATAGTTTAAGATGAGAGTATGCAAGTCGGTATTGTTTTTAAAAAATAATTTTAAAAAAATTAAAATAACATGTTTTTAGAGGACCATTGTTAATATTTTTTTTAAAAAAGATACCCATCTATTAAGAATAGAGATCGTCTATGAGTTTTTAGATAAGGAGGGTTAACATTACTTTTAAAATTTTACTGAGTGTTTTTTTAATTATAATTCTTTAATTCTAAGAATAAGGATATTTTTTTAAATTTTTTAAAAAGTAAAAAAGATATTAATGGAATTTTTTAAAAGTTATTTTTGAAATAAAATATAGTTTTTAAAGTTTACTTCGATATTTGGTTTAATAATGTTTAATTTAATACCTTATAATTTTTATTTAGAATTTAGTCTCTATAATTTAAAATTTAAAAGTTAGAATTTAGTCTCTATAATTTAAAAGTTAGAATTTAGTCTCTATAATTTAAAGTTAGAATTCTTAAAGTTAGAATTTAGTCTCTATAATTTAAAAGTTAGAATTCGGTGGGTGAGAATTCATAAAGAAGGAGTGAGCAGTTTCTCCCCTGGCCACGTTTGCCCCGAGCTAGGCTAGCATTGTGAGGAAGAACACGAAGTTTGGTTATGTTGAAAAGGAAAAAACTTATGTACAGTTGGAATGGGAGGAGCTTCAACGGTTCACGAACCGGAGATTGGAGCGGGAACAAGGACGGATGGATATAACGGAAGATATTTCAGAAGACTTATCAGAAGGAGAAAAGGGGGATGCTGTGGGTGAAACGCCGCAGAGCGAGATGTCGAAGGCGATGTTCCAGAGGACGGTTTCCAACTTGGAAGTTTGGCCGGAAGAAAAAATGGAAAGGAAACTTTACATTATTCTCATCAGGTACCTATTGCTGTAATTCAATAACTCAACTATATGTTTATCCTCCAATGTTGTTGTTGATCTTGATCGCAGCTTGCATGGTTTGGTTCGGGGAGATAACATGGAGCTCGGTCGTGATTCCGACACGGGTGGACAGGTGCAAAGCAATGTGACTAGAAGAAAATTGAATTGTAGTTAGAGTTGAGTTAGGTGATGTTGTTTAACACGAACTTTTCAGGTCAAGTATGTTGTCGAGCTTTCTCGTGCGCTAGCGCAAATGCCGGGAGTATATAGGGTGGACCTTTTTACGAGGCAGATCTTGTCATCAGAGCTTGATTGGAGCTATGGCGAGCCAACCGAGATGCTAAGTACAGGAATCGACGATGAAGATGGCGATGTCGGGGAAAGCAGCGGAGCTTATATAATAAGGATTCCGTTCGGTCCACGAGACAAATATCTACGAAAAGAATTACTATGGCCACATATTCAAGAGTTTGTAGATGGAGCTTTAGCTCATGTTCTTAATATGTCCAAAGCTTTAGGTGAACAAATTGGTGGTGGTCAGCCTGTGTGGCCATATGTCATCCATGGACATTACGCGGATGCTGGAGATAGCGCTGCGCTGCTCTCCGGTGCTTTGAATGTTCCGATGGTGCTGACGGGACACTCGCTCGGAAGAAACAAGCTCGAACAGCTTCTCAAGCAGGGACGCCAATCGAAAGAAGATATTAATTTGAACTATAAGATAATGAGGAGGATCGAAGCTGAAGAGCTTTCTCTTGATGCTGCCGAACTCGTGATTACAAGCACCAAACAGGAGATCGAGGAGCAATGGGGACTCTATGATGGATTCGATGTCAAACTCGAGAAAGTGTTGCGGGCTCGTGCTCGCCGTGGAGTCGTTTCCTATGGTCGATACATGCCGAGGATGGTGGTAAGATCTTCAGTTAACCATATTAATATGTCTCACATTATTTGGACATTCTAATGAAGAACTCAAGACCAAAGTTTTTGGCAGGTCATTCCTCCTGGCATGGATTTCAGCAATGTTTTGGTTCCCGAAGACACGCCCGATGTCGATGGCGATTTGACACTTACGAGTGAAGGGTCCTCTCCAAGAGCGATCCCGACGATATGGTCTGATGTAAGTGTGTCCAATCACCTTATCTTACACCATGTTATTAGTTATTATTTCTCCTCTAAACTTATATAATCGTTCGTATAATAGGTGATGCGTTTTCTTACAAACCCTCATAAGCCTATGATCTTGGCGTTGTCGAGGCCCGACCCGAAGAAGAATATAACCACTCTCTTGAAAGCCTTTGGCGAGTGTCGTCCATTGAGAGAACTTGCTAATCTAGTAAGATTTTTCAATAATATGTTGAAGTTATGAACTGTACGATCATGTTTTTTTTCCTCTGTAGACGCTCATCATGGGTAATAGGGACGATATCGATGAGATGTCGGGCGGTAGCGCTAGCGTGCTCACAACAGTTATAAAGTTTATTGATAAGTATGATCTTTACGGTCAAGTCGCATACCCGAAGCATCATAAGCAATCTGATGTTCCTGACATATATCGACTTGCAGCAAAAACAAAGGTTTGTTCGAGCTTCACGTTACCATACCATACCATGGGGTTCTGTAACGTTAACAACTTGTCTTATAAAACAATGCTAGGGTGTTTTCATTAATCCAGCGTTGGTCGAACCGTTCGGGCTTACATTGATCGAGGTTGGTTTTTCATTGGATCTGTCATGTGATTAGTCCTGTTGGATTTATGCCTCTGAGATATTGTAGGCGGCTGCACATGGACTCCCAATGGTGGCGACCAAAAATGGTGGACCGGTCGACATTCATCAAGTAAGGAAAACCTGATTGGAAACGTCTACGAACTCGTCACGATCTGATTAACTTGTTTTTGTGATTTTAGGCCTTAAACAATGGTCTGCTTGTTGATCCTCATGATCAGCAAGCAATTGCTGATGCTTTGCTGAAATTGCTATCAGAGAAGAACTTATGGAATGAGTGTAGGAAAAATGGTTTGAAGAACATACATCTGTTCTCGTGGCCAGCTCATTGCCGCACGTACTTGACTCGAGTTGCAGCGTGTCGGGTGAGGCATCCACAGTGGCAAACCGACACTCCGGGGGACGAAATACCAACAGAGGAATCATTCAATGATTCACTTAAGGACGTCCAAGATATGTCGCTTAGACTTTCGGTCGATGGAGAAAAAACGTCATTGAATGCATCAAGTGACATAGCTGCATCCGCTGATAATCCTGATTTGCAGGACCAAGTAGAGCGAGTTTTGAGCAAGATCAAGAGGTCGGGGACTGAGTCGAATGAGACCGAAAAAGGGAATAAAATGCTGGAGAATATGGCCGGAAAGTATCCGATTTTGAGACGACGACGTAGGTTGATTGTTATAGCACTTGACTGCTATGACAGCAATGGGGATCCAGAAAAGAAGATGATCAAGATGTTGCAGGAGATTATTAAAGCTGGTCGTCTCGACACTCAAGTTGCACGAGTTTCGGGCTTTGCTCTATCGACCGCAATGCCATTGGCCGAGACTGCCGAATTCTTAAGGTCTGGAAAAATACAACTCAATGAGTTTGATGCCTTAATCTGCAGTAGCGGAAGTGAGGTTTACTACCCCGGTTCAGAAGATGGCAAACTGCAACCCGATCCAGATTACGCATCGCATATTGATTATCGTTGGGGATGCGACGGTTTGAAGAAAACCATTCTTAAGTTGTTGAATGCATCTCAAGAAGATTCCAACAAATTCGGTACAACAATTCTCGAGGATACGAAATCGAGTAATTCTCATTGCATCTCCTACTTGGTAAAGAATATGAGTAAGGTAAACGAACACCTACAAGAATTAGCCTTCGACAGTTTTTTCTTCAACATCACACCCTTATATTTTCTTCTTTTCAGGCCATGAAAGTCGACGATTTGAGGCAGAAGCTTCGGTTGCGCGGTCTTCGGTGCCATCCAATGTATTGTCGGAGCTTGACTCGAATGCAAATCATTCCTTTGCTTGCATCAAGAGCTCAAGCTCTCAGGTTTGACACCGTCTCTTTCGTGTTCGCTCGAAATGATACTAAACATCCGTTCACTCTTTTATTGGATCATTTTTGGCTCGTTAGACTATTACATACGACCGTAGGTACCTTCTCGTGCAATGGAACCTACCATTCATTCTTTTGTTGGGTCATTAGTTGGCTCATTAGACTATTACATACAACCGTAGGTACCTTCTCGTGCGATGGAACCTACCGTTCACTCTTTTGTTGGGTCATTTTTTGGCTCATTAGACTATTACATATGATCATGTAGGTACCTTCTCGCGTGCAATGGAACCTACCGTTCACTCTTTTGTTGGGTCATTTTTTGGCTCATTGGACGATTACATAGGACCGTATGGGTACCTTCTTGTGCGATAGAATCTACCGTTCACTATTACATATGACCGTACTATTACATACAATAATATTATATATCTCAACACCGTAGTTTTCACATTGTCATAGGGGTACCTTTTCGTGCGATAAAACCTACCGTAGTTTTCACGTACACTCTATTGTTGGGTCATTTTTGGCTCGTTAGACTATGTCATCTTGACACTACTGTTTTAACATTGGTTGTAGGTACCTGTTCGTGCGATGGAGATTGAACCTTTCGAATATGTACGTATTCCTCGGGGAGGTTGGGGACACCGACCACGAGGAGATGATATCAGGGACTCACAAGACGATAATCATGAAAGGAACGTCGAACAAGGGGTCGGAAGAGCTGCTGAGGACGACGGGAAGCTATGCAAGAGATGACATTGTTCCAGGTGGGAGTCCATTAGTGACATTTGTTAATTGGGATGCAAATGCTGAAGAGATTGCAAGAGGTATAAAGCAAGTTTCATCGTCTGCAGCAAAGAATTAGTGGCCTTTGAAACCAGTTTTCTTCTTGTTTTCCTTTGTATAATGGTGTGATAATAGCTGTTCAGTCTATGAACTTGCTATTATTGGACTCTGAATTTAAAAAGAGAATAGATTTATATATCCTAAATAATTTTGATCTTCATATATTTTGTCTCCTAATAATCTTTGTAAATTTGTTAAAATGTAAAGAGAGGTAATGTCGAATTCGAAGAAGAGCTCGGTTTGCATGCCTTCCTAATCACGGATAGGTTATTGGGTTTTGCACTTCGGCCTCTGAGAATGCCACTATCAAGGTGACAGGATTTGAACCTATGGCTTTCTAAGAAGCAGTGGAAGATCCAACGGTAGTATATTTGGTTGTTTGCGGTGGAATAGATTCAAGTGTCCGTGCAACAGCAATACCAGCTCTACGAAGTCATAATCGAATCTTTTTTGTGGGAGTGGACGCTCTGCTCCCCGAAATGCGAGCGGAGTTGAAGTGCCCATCAACATGGCAGGAAACCTAGCGGAGGTGGAATAGATTCAAGCGTCCGAGCAACAGCAATACCAGCTCTACAAAGTCATAATCGAATTTTTTTTGTGGGAGTGAATGCGAGCGGAGTTGAATTGCCCATCAACATGGCGGGAAACCTAGCGGAATAATTATTCCATACTTGGCTAAATGGAGGTAAAAATTACTATTCTTTGATGTTGACATGGAATGTATTCTTATCAACTTGCAAGAACAAATGGAGGAATATTTTGAGAAAATTAGGGTTTATAGTCAACTATGTTAAATAATTATATTCGAAACACAATTAAAATATTTTATTAGGTTATATTTTCTTTTTGTTGGTAAGCAAAAGGGATGACTACGAGGCGGAGATAGGGAAAGCTCCTTTCACCTACAGGGACCGGGGGCCTAGTACAATTCTTCTTAAAGGAGGGTTGGTTTGTTCCGATAACTGATCCTACCATAATGTACTCCTACCTATAGCACCAACAACTAAAGTCGAGCATACATACGACGATCTTCATGCATGAATAGCTGGGAGGAAAGAAAGGGCGGTAGATGATAATGAAAAAGGGTGTTATGTCTGCATGAGCGGAATAGATGAGCGAGAGGTGTCATGCCATGGAGTGAGAAATATCTCGAGTCTCATGTAAGACAACAAAATGCACCTCGAGATGCTACCAAGGAAACTTCTACTAGGCAATTCACAATTGATCTTCCAAAAGAAAAATCTGTCAATAAAGAAGGAGCCATTATTTTGTTTAGAAAAATAAGAAAATAAAAAGAATTTTCTAATTCTCATGCTTTCCTACTCTGAAAGGTAAGTTTCACCCAATCAGAGGAAACCAGGGGCAGACGCTCCATATAAAAAGCTTATTTACCTGAAATTTGCGTTTTACCCAATCAGAAAATTCTCAGAAGGAAAAAGAAAAACAAATAATTCCTCAACACTGAGACTTGCTACGTTTCCAAGTTGCAGTGCTCCAAAATTCTCTGCTCTTCATCATCTCGATTCTCTCCGGTGAACGTATCTGATCGAGGAAGAGTTTGTTGTTGTAGGAGGAACCTTTGAGTTTCCGGCGGATTGATAGAGATGGCGGACGTCTTAGGCGACGCCGGTGGCGGCGGAACCAAGGCCACAAAGCTTCCGATTCCAGGAAAGAGGAATATACTCATTACCAGCGCTCTTCCATACGTCAATAACGTTCCTCACCTCGGCAACATCATTGGCTGTAATGTTCTTTCTCACGTGTATATATGTTTCCGTGTTTTGATTGATTGACGACTGCGTTATTTCTTTGCGTTTCTGTGCTCTTGTGTTTGAGTTGGTTGCTGTTCGGTTTCCGAGAATTGAATGATGGAGATTTAAGAAGTTATACCGCCTTCTTAGTTTTACTTCTACTGCGCGCGCTTTTTGTGTATATATGTTTCCGTGTGTTTGATTGATTGAGGACTGTATTGTTTCTTTGCGTTTCTGTGCTCTTGTGATTGAGTTGGTTGCTGTTCGGTTTCTGATAATTGAATGATAGAGATTTGAGGAGTTATGCCGCCTTCTCAGTTTTACTTCTAATGCGCGCGCTTTTTGTGTATATATGTTTCCGGGTGTTTGATTGATTGAGGACCGTGTTGTTTCTTTGCGTTTCTGTGCTCGTGTTTGAATTGGTTGCTTTTCGTTTTCTGAGAAATGAATTATGGAGATTTGAGGAGTTATGCCGCCTACTCTGTTTTACTTCTAATGCGCGCGCTTTTTGTGATGCGGTTATGATTTTTGGAAGGCTGGATGAAATGTTTTGGTTTATATTTGATTTCAATATCCAGTTATCCTTCCACAAGCGGCTGGATTGATTTTATTTGTATGCAGGTGTGTTGAGTGCTGATGTTTTTGCTAGGTACTGTCGTCTTAGAGGTTATAACGCTATTTACATATGCGGAACCGATGAGTATGGAACGGCGACGGAGACAAAAGCAATGGAAGAGAAATGTTCTCCAAAAGAGATTTGTGACAAGTAAGATTTCCTCTCAGGTTTCTGTTCGTCGTGGCTACTACCTTCTTCTATGATTCTGGAAAATGGTTGTCTCGGCTTTCTATAGTTTGTTTTGTATATAATTTGTACTCGCGTAATGTTACACTTTCAAGTTCGCTTCTATCCTCCACGAGTATAGTTTTGTAAATCAGACAGAGATCTGGATCTCAGGCTTTTTAGTACTGTCTTCTGGACTTGGATACTCTGTCATATTCACTTCATGACATTTTTTTCATATTCAAATTGTTTTGAACGGTTCTGATTTTCACATGCAAGTAATTTCGTGGAGCATTTTTGAAGACGATCTCGTCCTTACTTCCGTAATGGTTTTACTTGGCCGAGTTATAAGTACTTGAACACTTAATCGACTGTTCAGAATGAAGTTATAGATTTTGTGACCTGCAATCTCTCTCTTCCTTCCTTGAATCTCAGTTTTCACTTCCTGCTTAGAGATCACCTAAATCTGGGGAAAGATTTGGACCTTTACTTAACTATTTCTGCACTGTCAGGTACCACAAAATTCACAAAGAAGTTTACGATTGGTTTGGTATTAGTTTTGATGAATTTGGTCGCACATCATCATCACAGCAGACTGAAGTTTGTCAAGAAATATTTGGAAAACTATTGGAGAACAATTGGCTTTCTGAGAACACGATGCAACAGGTAGACTTATTTATCACTTGAGTATTATATTCTTCTCCTGGTTACTATTGGTTGCATGTGCTTGAGTTCTTCTACTTCTGTTCATCGATTTCATGCATGATATTTATTTGTTTTTTTACTCATAATTCAGCTGTACTGTGATACTTGTGAGAGATTTTTAGCCGATCGGCTTGTTGAAGGCATTTGTCCTACTCCAGGGTGTGAGTATGACTCTGCACGTGGTGATCAATGTGAAAAGTGCGGGAAACTTCTTAATCCAACGGAATTGAAAGATCCCAGGTGCAAGGTACTTCATGGATTTTCTGCGACTGAGAAACATTATTTTTGTATTACAAAACCTTTAATAAGTGCATGGAAATGCATAAGTTTCCTAGGAAATTAGGGAAACACATTCCAATTGAAAGTGTGTTTTTTTTCTTCCCATTTTTTCTTTTTCTTTCTTTTGGCATGTTCCTTTTCACACACAGCAGCAAAGAGGTCCTTTGGCGGCTTCTTCTCCTTCTTCTCTCTCTCTCTTTCTCTTTTTCAATTTTTTTTATTAATAATAATTGTTGGAGAGAAATCCTGTTACGCAGTTCATCCAATTATTATAAGGAAGAATCTATTATTGAAAAGGAAGTTTGGAAAAGCTATTGAAATCTGTTTTGCACGAAGTCCAAAGAGTCTAGGGGTCAATGTCTCTCTTCCTTATTGGAGGACGAATTCACAGCTTGAAGCAAACAATGAAAAGATAGTTCATAATCTATTGTTGGCAGTTTGAAGCGTGGTTTATGATTAAGTAACACATTGGCATGGTCAAGAGTCATGAACTTTGCTTGAATGAATTTGTGTTAGATACCATCTGTGGGTACCAATTTTAACTTTTTTCAAACAGAGAGAGAGAGAGAGATGAATCCATCACTTCTTCTGAGGGTCTTTATATCCCTTGGAAGATCCTAGCATTTCATTCATCCCACAGTTTCCAAATGACAGCTCTAGAAAACCAGTGTTACATGAGTAGAGGTAATTAAGCAGGTTTCCAAATAACAATAGTATTTCACGTACTTTTTTCCAGGTTTATTATTAAGAAAATAGTCATAAATAAAACAAAATGATCAGTTTGTTTCATTTTTCCCCCAAGATAGCAACTGAGTGTTAATATTTGGAAAATAGGTCTGTCAAACATCCCCACGTATCCGTGACACAAACCACATGTTTCTTGAACTTCCTTTGCTGAGAGATAAACTTGAAGAATATATCAACAAGATGTCTGTGGCTGGATCTTGGAGCCAAAATGCTATTCAAGCAACACAAGCTTGGCTTAAGGAAGGGTTGAAACCCCGGTGTATTACAAGAGATCTAAAGTGGGGGGTTCCCGTTCCACTAGAAAGGTTCAAGGACAAGGTTCGTTTTTTTTTTTTTTTTTTTCAATCTTTTTTATTGTAATAGCTCGACAATTTTCTATGATAATTTTTTTTTGTTAATTTTTTATTTCAATTTTTTTAGGTCTTCTATGTTTGGTTTGATGCACCAATAGGATATGTCTCCATTACATCATGCTACACAAATGAATGGGAGAAATGGTGGAAGAATCCAGAGAATGTGGAGCTTTTTCAATTCATGGGCAAGGATAATGTTCCTTTCCACACTGTATGTATCCTTACCATTAAACTTTCCTTATTGTCTGAAGAAAATCTGTTTTTTTTTTTTCTTTTTTTCAAATGATTTACAAACGGCATTTTCATCCTAACTTCGGGAATAGAGGACAAACGTGTTATTTTTTCTGAAAATAGTTTTCTATTTCTTAAAATTGAAAATGTAATTGATTTGGCAACTCTCTCTATCAAGTAGTGCAATAAATTGGTTAATCTCTTCAAAGTGAGGTTTATTAATTGTAAAATACCCCTTTCTCGATCAGTCGAAGTCAGAAACTGGAAGTTCCTTGTTTCTTAAAAAAAAAAAAAAAAAAAAAAAAAAAAAAAT